GGCCTAACAACGAAGAATCAAGCTTTGAAGTCCCAGACAGAATCCATGTACGTCCAAAAAAGCTTCTTCAGTTGTTTCAGCGAAACCCATCCGTGCCGACCATCTACCGTCTGCCGCTGTAGATGAAAAAGCCGGAAAAACAACGACAGTGTCGCCCCGATCTCCAAATATCGACAAACGATCTCGAATGCTCGAATGAAGGCTACGGAGTTTGGGTGCAGTTGTGAGGGAGCTAACCGCAACCAGTCGAAGATCCCCAATTGGAAATCCGTGAACGACAATCGAAGCCCGGCTTCGCGGAAACAAAATTCGTACATGGGGAAACACATCTTCCCAAACGACGAACAGATACGGTGGTGCTCACGAGTCTGGTATTCCTGCCAATTTTTAGGGTCATTCTCGCGCCTATCCTCGACGGTGGAAAATGCGTCATTCTTCTCATCCACGAAGTACGAGGGTGTATTCAGGGGTTCCTCGGCCACCCACTCCTCGATCGGACGGGCTCTATTCTCGACGGTAAGAACCTCTTGATCTTCATCCTCGTCCATGATCCCCGGGACCCACGTTGTCATTAACACCTAAAAAGCAGAAGGAAACGGTGAATTCGATGTCCAAGATCAAATTCACCCTTCCACCGCAGGCCAAGTGAAAGGGCGACGGGGACAACATCCGCGACGCGAGTAGAAGCCACACGAGCAGGTGTCCTCGGGGAATTCATCCTACGCCCCTCGGCGTCCCCGGGAAACGCTTCTGAGCCTATCAACCGTCCACGGGGGATTCATCCAGCCCACAGATCCTTCCCGGGGCATTCATGGAATACTACTGTCCATCCCCGGGGCGTTCATCTGAAACTAGTGCATGTCCCCGGGGAATTCAAACCCCACTTTCTCACGACCTCGGCACATTCATCCTAAACCTAGAAAACGCCACCTATAGCGGCAGATATTCGCCTCCCTCCTCGGGACAGGACGACGAAGGTTCACCTCCCTTCTCGGGGCATTCAACACGCCCCGACGCCAACTCTAAGGCACGAAACTATAAAAGACAAGGAGAGAAAAACTTACTGGATTGTAGGTAACGACGGAATGCGCAACGGTTGTTGCGGCGGTGACGACGAGCAGGCACGAATGAATCAGTCGCAAGAAAAGAAGCAAAAGCCGAAATGATGAATGAGCAGGGACCCGCTTACTTATACCCCAGCACGGGACTCGAAGCGTCCCTAGGCACTTGGATGCCCTAGGGTAGCCGCCGCACATGGCTCATCCAACGCTTGACACGTGGCGTAGGCTGGCAGTCGCGTCCCTTCATGTCTCCCCGCCAACAACGTCCGTTGGGGACGTGTCTTCGACCTATACGTCCCCGCAACCCGAAGACGCCACGCTCACACGTCCTCGTGAAATTCACTCCGGCGAAACCTCTCTCGCGTATACCTCATGCGTCGATATAACGTCATAAAGTCCTCGCTCCCTCTCTTCGAGCTTCGACTTAGGGGGCTCCTGTTCTGGATCGGGCCCCGGCTTGACCGGACAGGCCCAACCCAATGCTACCTGGGAAAGCCCAAACAGGCCCATATCACGTACGTCGAGCACAAGGGTTCTCCGTCGAGCAGACGTTACCCTCTGCGGGCAGAACCTTCCCTTCTTCGAGCAGAACAACGTGTCCTCCACACGTTCTCCCCTCCGCGGAGACACGTCCTTATCCAACCACCCACCTCTGCGGGAGTTGGTCAACCCACCTTCTGGAGATCACGGGACGGTTGAACTAGGGCAAAGACCACGTGCTGGTCTTCACTACGCCACGTAAGCCCTAGCAGTCACCTGGGTTGGGCCTGACAATCCAGCCCAACACAAGTGACCGTTGACCCTGCGCTGGGGTCTCACTATAAATACCCTATTTTACCAAAGGGTCAGGTATTCAATTCAATTCTCAACTTTCTCTCTGTATTTGCTTCACTCCGGTCCTCTCTCACTTTGGCATCAGAGTGTCTTGCAAGCACACCCCCTCTTCTTTCTTACCACCGGTGAACAGACAGTAGATCAAAGACGCGTGGCGGTCCAGTGATTCTCTTCTGATCAGATCAAATCATATTTTAATTTGTATAAAATATCTAAAACATCATTTATATATATATATATATATATATATATATATATATATATATATATATATATATATATATATATATATATATATATATATATATATATATATATATATATATATATATATATATATATATATATATATATATATATATATATATATATATATATATATATATATATATATATATATATATATATATATATATATATATATATATATATATATATATATATATATATATATATATATATATATATATATATATATATATATATATATATATATATATATATATATATATATATATATATATATATATATATATATATATATATATATATATATATATATATATATATATATATATATATATATATATATATATATATATATATATATATATATATATATATATATATATATATATATATATATATGACAGAGAAAGGACCTCTTTTTGTTTTTCCTAAATTAGTGGTGCTACTCTTTATGCTTTTTATATATAGGTATTTACGTCCCTTGACACACAAAACCATGGGTTCACCTTTTAAAAACATTGGTCCACTAAAATACTATTAATAACATTTTTTTTTCTTTCTCTTTTAAAAAATTGATGGATCTCATTTAAGTGTGAACCTTCTCAACATTGTTGGTTTATGATTTTAAAAAAATTAAACTCCTTATACTTTCATTGAGAAAAAAGACAATTTATTTATATTATTTATGATATATTTGGCCGATATATAAAAGGCCATAGCTTAGATCAATTAAATTTTTAATATTTTAAAATAGATCAATTTAACATCATTTAAATTAAACTAATTTTATCTAATTAAATACTTAATCATATTAGTATTAATTTAATCAATAATAAATTAAAACTCATAATTAATAAATCATTAATATAATTAAATAAAAATAAATTTTAAATAATAATATTAATATAGTGTTTTTAAATTAAATATTTAATAAAATATTTCAAAAATAAATTTAAAGATTAATTACTATGCACCTATAATATAAAAAAATTTAAACGGTCAATTTATTACCATTATTCATTTATATTAAAATCATATTATTTTTAATATTCAAAGTTTATGATTAATTTTCACTTTCAGTCATTGTATTTTAATTAAATTTATAAACTTTTTTATGTAAATTGATTACTTGAGTCAACAACTCTTTTGCATTTTCCTTTTACAAATTCAAAAAAATTGTATATTTAATCGGTCAAATTTAATTTTTTTATTGATCTCATTTAAATAAACAAGACAAGCAAAGAGTCAAACTAATATTTTAAATCTTCAACTCATTTATTTGCTATTTAGGGAAACTGCTAGTCGTACTTAGGAGCATTGACTAATGCTTCAAAGTTTCCTTGAACCATAAATACTTTTAATTAGATGCCTAAACCAACATTAATTTGGTCAGAAATTTGAATTTAGATTTTTCTAACAAAATATAAATTCGAGCGTTGTGGATAAATACAAATTATATTCAAATTGAAAATTTGCTCTAATAATAGTCAAATAGATTATTGAGATTTTCCATTTCTCCAGCTAATAATAGAATTATTCTTTTTTATGTCCAATAACTCCAAAATTAATAAAAAAAATTAATTATTTTGATCTATCTTATTAAGATCGGACATCTTATAATATTCTAACTAAGTGATTGTGCCAAAATCCGAATGTACTGGATCGATATGCCTATTTCTTAAAAGACTATATATAAGACAGCTTGTTGGAATGTAAATTCTACACAACAAAACCTCTAAGAATCAATGCCCTAATTTTATATATAAAAATAATAAAAACAATTTTTTAATTAATTAATTTAATTTACACAAGTTACATACAAGTACAAAGCAACTTTCGAATCGCAGCGTTTAAACGCTCATCCAATAGCAAACGACTATCACAACTCAAGAAAGGTGAGTACGAGTGTGAGGCATTTTCCGTGAAACTAACTGCTCTAAAGCTTCATAAACACGAAATTGACATTTGAACCAACGAGGGTAATATAGTCAATCCATCAACTCCAACCACCGTTTTTCAATTTCACGGATCCACACATACAATGATGCCTCGTGTGACTAAACTGCCCTTTAAACTTTCTCTCCCCAAACGGTCCTCAACCCAATAAATTACGAATCAACTATGAACTTTCCCTCAAACACGTTAACAAGGGAAGTGAATTATTGTCACGTCAAACTCACGCGCTGCAACACTTGTCTCACCTCAAAAAGCCAAAATCTATAACCATTTTCTTTCATATCTTAACTTATTTCCATCTCTATCACAATAGCGGGACCCCCAACTACCTTCTCGTCAAGGGCATTTTCGGTATTCAACCTCATAGGAGCGTCCATTCCAATCCGCCACATAAGATTACACGTGTCGTTATTTTCTTCTTTCTCTTTCTCGCTGCCTTTAAGTACTGTCTATGATATGTGATCTTTTTCTTATCCTCTCTTCGCCCACAGCTTCACGCGCTAACAATTCTCGCCGGTGAAAGACTCGTCGGAGACTATGGATGATATTTCGGCCACGTTATCTGATCTTGATTTCATGAATTTGTAGTGGCGTGTATTGTTTGAGAGGTTAATTGTGTTTAGTATAAACCCTAAGCAAAAGCAACTTTACTTAGCAGAGTTTTCAAGTTATTCTATGCTTACTCAATTTTCTCTGTATAAATTATATTAATTCAGAAAATATTAAGACGATCCCTCTATTGTTTCGGATTTTTTTTACGGTTTTTCAGAGTCTCATTTATTAGAAATTTTCAAATTAAGTTCTGCAAAATTTGAAAAAGCGGTTTTGGAGATTTCAGTATAAATTTGATTCATAATTCAAGATCGGGAGAGTCTGTGATTTTTGTTTTGGAGATTTGTTATGCCTTTCACGATGAAAATTCAGCCGATCGATTCTCAGGTGCCGGCCGAGAGAATTAAGCCGGTTGTGAAGTCGCGGCTTAAGCGACTCTTTGAGCGTCAGTTCTCAGGCGTTCTGAAGAATCCAGCAGTGGAGAAGATCGGTGGCGATGAGCCGCATGCACGCAAGGACGGTAACGGAAACGGAAACGGCATCGTCGATTTCGAACCAAGCTCGGTGTGTCTGGCGAAGATGGTACAGAGTTTCATTGAAGAGAATCAAGAGAAACATTCGGTTTCCTGTGCTCGCAATTGCTTCAATGGAAGCTTCGATGATTGCTCCGACACTGAACAACACGCGCTCGGTGGCTCTTCCTCCGGTGAAGTGTACGAAACCCTCAAGGTATGAATCGCGTGTTTAGTTTACTATTAATTAATTAAGTAATAGATAAGTGAGAAATTAGTTGTTTGACAACTAATTAAGTTAAGTAGTTATCTATAAGTGAGAAATTAGTTGTTTGATTATAATTTCTTAATCGTTTTTGTTACTATTTCGGACAGGGTTTGGTGGCGTGTCCAAATGTTTTTGAAAAGAATCTGTTAGCGGAGATAACAAAGATTATTGAGAAGAACAAAACTGTGTGCAAACGCAAAGACGATGATTGCAGAAAGACTATAACTGATGGATTGTTAACTCTTGGATACGATGCTTCAATTTGCAAATCTCGCTGGGAAAAATCAACTCTCTGTATCGCCGGTAATTTCTCTATCATTATCATTAGTATCGAAAACTGTTTGTCTGGAATAGCGTGTCAGATTGTTGTCAGTTTCCGTGCTATTTTGAAATTAAATATATATAATTATATTATTTTGTAACTGAATTGGTTTGTTTTGTTGAATTTTTCAGGGGAATATGAATACGTTGATGTGATAATGGGAAAGGAGAGAGTGATAATTGACGTTGATTTCAGATCAGAATTTGAGATTGCTCGGTCAACAAAGTCTTACAAAGCGATTCTCCAAACGCTTCCTTACATTTTTGTAGGGAAGAGTGATCGTTTACAGAGTATTGTAGCCATAGCTTCTGAGGCAGCGAAACAGAGTCTGAAAAAGAAGGGTTTGCATGTTCCACCATGGAGAAAACTGGAATACGTTAGATCGAAATGGTTATCTCCTTACACAAGAACCAAACCACCTCTGTTTTGCAATTGGCCTCGTGAAATCAGTGAGGAAACTGAGAGAAAACAGAGGATTTCGATGGGTGGTGGTGGTGGTGAGTCTGAAGTGAGCCATGATGAGTCAGAGTCAAAAGTGGTGGTTGAATGGAAGCCACCAGAATTGAAACCCAAAAACTCGCTGACCGGGGTTAAGGTTGTGACTGGTTTAGCAGCTGTCTTTCGTGAAAGCCCATAAAATTTTGTTTTTGTTTTTGTTTTTTAACCCAAAAAAAGAGTCAGGTTTTTGTATTTTTATATGAAAAGTTATAATTCTCTATATAGATAGAGAATTCAGAGGTTGTGTAAGTACTGTAATAGGCTAACAGCTATATCCCCTTCTGGTTTTTATTGTAAGGGATGGTTTTTTACTGATATAATATAATATAAAGAAATATATAATAATATGAATAAAATAAAGTTGATTAAATGCTAGTGTGTGGAGAAGTTGATTCCTTTTGTGATTAAATGCTAGTGTGTAATAGTATATTGTTGTGGGTTGCTTTTGTTGTTTGCTTGACTTGAGTTATGTAATATGTTCCTTGTGTTGGGAGAAATAGTTTGATTCAGTGCTTTGTGGGTTAAGGATTCGGTGATGATAGATAATTTGTAAATTACTCATATGTATTGTTATTTCAAGTTTGATTCTTATTCTTCTCTTTAAGAATAAGAAATGGACGCTAACAAACAATCTTGATGGTTCCTTTAAACACACTGAAAAAGATGCTGCTGGTGCCTTACAACACACTGAAAAAGATGAAACAGTAATTTGTACTGTAGTATCATTCACTTATTTCATGAGTAACATAAACGTGATGATGATGACGATAACTCCGTCAAGTTTTCCACACATTCTGATGACTCTTCACCGTCCTCCTTCACAAAAATGATAGGACCACTTTTGGACGGTATAAATTTACAAAATGATGGCATCAATCATATTCGATTTTTTTCTGGGGAATTGTAGTGTAGTTCTTGGATATTGGTTGCTCACTTACGCATAAATATACGTCGGTTTCTACATTGTTGGTATCCTTGAATATGTGAAATTTTTTCTGCACATTAAATACTTATTTGTCAGGTCAAATATTGTCATAGTTTCAAATAAAAAAACTATAAAAAACTAAACACGTCATAGTTTTAAATACTGTCCTTTATTAAAAGGACAGAATTTAAAAAAAATCAATTCTGCCAAAAAGAGCGGTATTATTAAATTTATAATTTTTTTTATATTAATTTAATAAATAATGTTAACTTGTGCTTTTGGGACACATGTTAAACTATTTATAGTAAATTTGTATTGGAAAAAATAATTTAAAAAATAATTTTATATTTTAATTAAAATTTATACACAATAATGTTTCTTAATTTAATTCTTAACATGGCCCCAAAGACACAAGTTAACATTATCCTAATTTAATTAATGAATTTAAATAATTTTAATAAAATTTTAATATTAATATTAATATAATTTTAATTAATTAATATTAATATAATATAAATTAATTAATAAATTTAAATAATATTAATACAATTTAAATAATTAATAAATTTAAATAATATTTTAAAAAATTAAATATTAATATTAATACAATTTAAATATTAATTTTAATACAATTTAAATATTAACACAATTAATTAGTATATAATAATATTAATACAATTTAAATATTAACATTAATACAATTTAAATATTAATATAAATACAATTTTAATATAAATATATAGTAATTAATATTATTAATATTAATATATAGTTGATAAACATAATTAATATTATTTAGTAAGAGCATTTTTAATAGGAGTAAACTAAATAGATAAACTAAGATATTTTTTGTGTGCTCAAAGTGTTTTGTAGGATTTAAAAATTTTATAGTTAATTTGAGTAGTTTTTACTTTAATGATGATTGTCTATAAGAAACCAAAACTTGACCATACTATTTTCAAATATCATGTCATTACTTTAATGCTGTTGGAATATTTTATTAATTAAATAAATAATATTGTAATATATTTCACATAGTTAACGTTAACTATATAGATAATGGAAACTAAATTTTAGTTCACTTAGATGTCATGTCACCTCTACTATAATGCAAATTATTTATTATTAACGTAAACTATACAAAATTTTGGTTTAACAACCCTGCACTAAAGTTGCTCTAAGAGATAATTATACTAATGGGCGTAATCATTGACTATTTTATTATTCATGTATAATGGCGGTACTTGAATGGGTGGAACTTTTTAGTATTTTTTTTTACATTGCGGACACTTGAATGAGCGGAACTTTTAATATTTTTGTACAGTTTTGGCACCTGAATGGGCGAAACCTTTTAATATTTTATTATTTTTTTGTACAAGACTGGCACCTGAATGGACGAAACCTTTTAATATTTTAATGTTTTTATATAGTGTCGACACCTATATAAATAGAGATGTGGTGTGACATATTTTTCACATCTATTTTAAATTTATTGTATTATTTTGAAGATGTACCTTCGCCGTTGAAGAAAAGTGATTTTTTCGAGAGAAAAACTAGCTATGGATATGCTTTTCTGAAACATATGTAGTTTAGAGCAACTACACAAAGAGTTGAAGTGTTGGTTAGAAGGAGACATACCAGAAGAGGAAAATCAAAAGTATTGAGAGGTATGATGTCCGACGTGGGTGAGTGCGAGTCAAGAATGATAAGGAAGTCAGGGAAATGATGTTTGGGCAAAATGAAATCAGACTGCTAATTGTAATAAGTTAGAGAAATGGTATCAAATGTTATATTAAATGTTGCTTTTTAGTAAAATGTTGTTTTTTAGTATTTTTATCTATGTCGATTTATGTATGTGTTGTGTCATTTAATGAAGCATATAGTTGTGTGGTTTGTGCTAGAAGTTTGATATTAATCTGAAAACAATACATGATAATTAATGAAAACACTAACGATTACTTGTTACCACATTAGGACACCGGGTTCGATTGTGGCCTGTTTGACGACACATGGAACATTTTCTCTCAAGCTTATCAAAGTTATCCATTTTCGTTCTAATATGTGTGCTCTCACTGGGCGACCTTTCTTGTTCCTCCTCATTCTTGGGATATGGCAAATTTGATCTCCTTCATAAATGGGCCAATATTCATCGTAAGGCAGCACAGGAAAGCTTGTGTTGTAAACCCCAAATAAGTTTGTAACCCTATAAACGTCGGACAAAAGAGCGTAAGCGTCGTGGCGCACATTAGAACGCGCAGCGATAACATGTGAGCAAGGGACACGGTATGCTTGAAACTTTCCACAGTCACACGACCTGCTTAGGAGGCTGATCTTATAATGTCCCATAGGTTTTCCCTTACCATGGTCCATTGTTTCCTTAACACTGAAAACATTGTTAGTGTAGTCAAAAATTCTGACTTGATGTGTGCTGGATTTTGTTGTTTCTTCTTTCGTCACCTTGAGGCAGTTGTCTGTAAATGTCTGGCCAGAATTCAACACAACACTCCACTTTGCACCCCTTTTAGTAAATAATGATCCCAGTCTATAATATGTTGCACTTACCAATGTTGTAATGGGAAAATTACGTGTGTCTTTAAAAACAACATTCAATGACTCAACAAGGTTGGTAGTTATGTGACCCCAACGTCGACCCTCGTCAAATGCCCTGTCCATTTTTCGGCTAGAATATTGTCAAGCCACCTCAGAGCATCAGCATTCGCCAAGCCAATCTCAGACCGATAGTAATGAAATGTTGGCTGGTTTAAAGCATACCCTACATAAAAAAACTTATAATATCAACAATGGACAAAAATATAATATATGTTATCAAATATACTTACCCATGTTAATTACTTTTTTCTGCAAGTTTATGTCCTTGATTTCTCTCATAAAATTCTGCACAATATGTCGGATACAATAAACATGCACCGATGGGGGATTATGTCAACCATTTTTCGGATTGTTGTATGCACTTTCAATTGATGCATGTCAGTCTAAAATCAAACATAGGTTTGGTTGTGGCGCAACATACCTCCTTAAGTTTCGTAGAAAAAATACCCAACCTTTAGTCGTTTCACCTTCCACAAGAGGAAAAGCAACTGGGAAAATATTGTTGTTACCATCTTGTGCCACCGCCATAAGAAGTGTGCCCTTGTACTTACCATATAACCAGGTTCCATCAATTTGAAGTATAGGTTTGCAATATGCAAAACCTTTAATGTATGGTTGGAATACCCAGAATAGCCGGTGGAAGATGTGTTTCCCTTCAACAATTGTTCCATCATCTGTATACATTGGTAGTGTTTCTATTTCCAGCACAGTGTCCGGAATAAATTTTTTAAGTGCTAACAGGAAATGTGGAAGTTCATTGTATGAGTTCTCCTAATTACCGTAAACATGTTCAATTGCTTTGTTCCTTGCAATCCACGTCTTTCTGTAAGACGGAGTAAAATTGTATTCAGAAACAAGTTTACTTATGCAAACACTAACCTTAATATAAGGATCCTTGTCTACAAATGGCATTGATCGAAAATTTCTTCTCGCCTTGTGCAAAAGATGGAGACCAGAAACTCACACCTTTCACTTTTCCACAGGTGAATGCACGATTACCTTGGAGGATGTCCATATGTTGTTAGGTCTGCGTGTCGATGGGTTAGCGGTTGTTGGTGACACAAACATGAAGTACGATATGGTGGAAGAACTATTGGGGGTGTCGTTGGAAAGAGCTGATAGGAAGGGGCAAAGCATTAGAATTACATGGCTAAATTTTTTTTATCGTGCTTTGATATTGAGCGCGAATTCTCCCAAGGAACTGAAAATTTATAAAACTAGAATTTATATTTTATTACTTTTTGCATGCTTTTTATTTCCTAATACTAATGGCAATACTATCCATCTTCAATTTTTACCATTATTAGAAGATTTAAGCTTGGGGATGGTCCATAATGCCCAGACTAGCGTCAATAAATCTCAATCCATACCACTTTCCATATGCAACCAAGTAAGTATATAAAGTTTATTTCTATTTAATTTTCATCTATAATTTTTATTTATTATTTATTTCATAGGTGGTCCGCATATGGGATGAATTACAAAAAAAAAACCCTCATCATTGTGCTACTGGATATCAGACATTTTTCGATCATTTCGAGAAAGATGATGTATTCTCTCTAACACTTATACTACTATTATTAACATTTTTTTAAAACTCTAAT